CTCGTGCGCCCCGGCCTCCTGCGCCTTTGCGCAGATGCCCCGGGGCAGCGGGAGCCTCTCCGCTGTGTGATTCGCGCTAAAGGCAGCTCGCGGGCGCCTCGGCTTTCTGTTTCTTGGCCGCTTTAACCACGTCGCTCTCCCCCTCCCCCCCCCAGCTCTTGGACTTTGAGAAGAAGAACCTGTACACCCTCAAGGTGGAGGCCTCCAACCCTCACGTCGAGTCCCGCTTCCTCCACCTGGGCCCCTTCAAGGACTCGGCCACGCTGCGAATCTCGGTGCAGGACGCCGACGAGCCCCCGGTCTTCGGGAAGCCCGCCTACGTCCTGCAGGTCAGAGAGGACGCGCCGGTCAACGCCACCGTGGGCGCGGTGGCCGCGCGGGACCCCGACGCCGCGCGGAACCCCGTCAGGTGAGCGCGCTGCCCGGGGGAGATGCGCCCCTTTTCCAGCGCCACAGTGGCGTCTTCCTGAGAAACGACTCTGCGGCGCCTTCCAGCTCCTTGCTCAGCATAAATATTATTGTAGCAGCAGCATAAACGTTAAGAACAACATTTGTGTTGGGGAGGAGAGGGGGGGCGCCTAAAACGAGCTCTAAGGGGCTCCCCCATAGAAGGAGGCAAGGAGAGGGCCGGGAACGGCCGGGGTTCTCCTTAAGGTCTTCGGTTTGTTGAGGAGTTGGGGGGAAGGCCCGCGCGGGTCTAGGGTGACGCCTCCAGGCTGCTCCGTGTGCAGCGTAATGTCGTCTTCTGCAGGGGAGGGTCGGAGTGAGAGCCGGTGCGCGACATGTGTCTGGGACATGCTGGGGACAGGAGTAGCCGAATCCGATTCGCACTGCGGCAGCTCTGCGTTCCCGCACTGTCCGTACGCCTTAGCTGTAGACGTGTTGCAAGGAAAGCCTCGGAGCTCTTAGCGACTTGCGCGCTTGGGGATCCTGGGCCCCGACCAGGAGAGCGCAGGGGTTAGCCAGCCCGGCCTTGGCCAGGCGCTCAGCTGGCCAGATGGGAAGTGTGCTAAGCCAGGAGGCCCCTGGGTAAAGGGGTCCCCGTAAAGAAAGCAGGCAGACTGCGGAGCTAGAGGAAGCCTTGCCGCTGAGTCCAGGACACTGTCCTAACCAGGGCGCCTGCCACGGGCCACGCGTGGTCGAGGCATCAGGAACGACAGACACCAAGCCCGGGTCCCGTGGAGCTTACATTCTCACTGGGGCAGACAGACAGACATAAGCCACTGACCTCTGATTGCCATGAGAGCCTTATAAACGGTCGCTGTGAATCCACACCGTGAAAAAAGTTACATGCAAACACGCTTCCTTCCTAACCCGCAAATCTTCCTGACTTGAGGGTGCATTAGAAGACAAATTACTGAATCAGAGACTACAATAAAGTTTTAGAAAGAAGAAAAAAAAGGAGCTACCTAGCAGAATGATCTGCTGCCGTCATGGTGAGACTGATTGATTACCCTGTTCCTTATCAGTTATGATTACAATAAGTGGGACTGGGCGGTAAATAGCCTGGATATAAATTGGAAATACTTTGGAAAGAAAGCCAACAAATAGGTAGGGCTTTGTGTGCAAGCATCTTTCCTAAACAACATAAACATTTTAGGTTTTCTACTCATTTTTAAACCTCCCAATCAGAGAAAAAATATATACGTTTTGGTATTTATTTTTAAAGAAAAAATAGTCATATATATTTTTAAAAATTTAAAATGTATATATTTTTAGATTTCTTTAAAATCTAAAGCTGCCTTCAACTAGAAGTTCCTCACCCCGGACCCTTTATTTTCAAGGCTTAATGGGAAAATGCAAGTACTTGTAAACCTTAAAACTATAGCAAGATAAAAAAGGCAAAGAGGAAGAAAAGCTTACTGCTGTATTTAACTGTAACAGCATATAGAGGTAACAGGCAACATGTCTTAAACTTGATGTTTTCTACCAGGAAAAAAATATTACAAAGTCTATGAATATTGAGATTTTCTTGTTGATTAATTTATTATTAATTTCAATTAATTATGTGCTGTAAATATTTATCATTCTCAGATTAAAAATGAAAGGTGATCAAGCAAGCTCAAGGCTGTTGACTGCATTCTTAATAAATGTTGATTCATGACATAAGTGGCAAAAAACAGTAGCTGTTTCACTTGTCTTGATCCTTTTGATAATAAAATATTAGGTTTACATAAATTGAAATAAAAATCCTAACCCAACTTGATAAATATAGATCCATTGTGGCCTTTATTTATTCTCTTTAAAATCAGGCTTTCAGAGCCTACAATAATTGGATATCTGTTTTGACTCCTGCTAAATGACAAAAGTAGATTTTATTAAGATAAAATATATTGTTTATTATAATTCACTAGCTATATTTTAAAACAAAATAATTAACTGAAAGAGAATATTGGACATTGTACACTCTTGCAAGTTAGTAATAAGCATTTATAACAATTTTTCTTAGAGCATTCATAATAATTTCACATGTGTATGACTAATTGGGTCATTTACTTAAATTGCATTTCCACTGAGCCGATATTTTTAAATCACCTACCATGATATAAATGTTGAGAATCCAACTGAAATGGGCAGTTTTTTGTTCCTAATGGCCTTAACATACCAACTTTCTTCTGAGTTTTCTCTTTAACGGTCCCCCCATAAAACAGAGTACATATGTTTCCCCCTTACACAGCTATTCCAAAAACCAGTGAGCAATCTATAGGCAATAACAGTCCTCAAAATCTACTAGTCTTCCCTCAGTTTCCGTGCTGAAGACTCTTCTTCCTTCTTTGGTTTCTAAGACACACGCTTGGTTCAATTTGAATTCGCCAAACTCTGCTTAAATATCTATCAAGTTTCTACTCTGCCCTGGGCACTGTTCTAGTCCTGGCTCATTTCTGTTGCCGCGCTTGTCCTTAGATTCTGTCCTCAGCGTTTTCCTCCCCTCCCGGGACACTGTCTTCCTGGACAGTTGACTAGGAAATCTAGGCTGTCAGTCCAGATCTTCATCTTGGGCTTCAAACTCGATTCCTCTTCCTGGATTTTTCTCAGGCTTTAAGCCTCAACATGTCAAAACTGGAACTTACGATCTCCCCCAAACCCTGTTCTTCACAAACTCCTATGAGTTTGTGGAAGCACTGTCCAACCAATCTCCTCGATTCAACCAGAGATCTTTGCTAAATGTGACTTAGGTTGTGACACTCTCCTGCTTTGAATCCATTGGTAGGGCCTCATCACTCGTAGAATAAATTCCAGCTCCTTACCATGGCCAGCCCATCCTTCTACAGTCCAGACCCTGGGTCTCTTCCCAAGCTCAACCCCTTTCCCCATCTTCTGCCTCACTAGCCTCAGTCACACTAGCCATCTTTTGCTTCTGTCAACATAATTTTTTAAAATATATTTTTATTGATTTCAGAGAAAGAAAGGGAGAGGGAAAGAAAGAGATGGAAACATCAATGATGAGAGAGTCATTGGTCGGCTGCCTCCTGCACACCCCCAACTGGGGATCGAGCCGGCAACCCGGGCATGTGCCCTGACCGGGAATCAAACCTCGATTGCCTGGATCATAGGTCGATGCTCAACCACTGAGCCATGCTGGCTGTGCTCAACATAATTTTTTTAAATAAAATTAATATTAGACAAATAGCCAATAATCCTACTTATTCATACAAACACACACACATACATTAAAGTTCTGAGGTTCAAAAACTTGAGTTAAAAGATAACAATTACTAATCAAACTTGGTTCAAATTACATATTTAAAAAAAGAAACTTCAGTGGTGACACTCAAAATCATGAATTTGTCTAGTGGGTTTTCTATAAAGACCTCAGTTGTCAACAACTAATTTCTCAGAATATTTTGCTTAATGTTAAGTTTATAGATATTCAAATATACACTACAGTTAGAAAAAAGTTATGTAACAGATATTTTGGGAATAGTTTCTGTCTGTGAGAATAGCAAATACAAAGAAAAAATCTTTTTAAATTTTCTGCATTTTCAGGTACTCTGTCGATCGACACACAGATCTGGACAGGATATTCAACATTCATTCTGGAAATGGTTCCATTTTTACATCAAAACTTCTTGACCGAGAAACATTGCTATGGCACAACATTACAGTGATAGCAACGGAGATCAGTAAGTCCAGCTCCATGCCACTGTTGTCCCGATTGACAGAATGAGTGTCCCGGCAAGGGCCCTGAGCATGCCTCAGACCCGTCACTATGTATTGATGACCCCACTCAATACATATTGAAGGAAAGAGCTCTGTAATGATTTGCAATAATGTTTCTTCATGTTGGTTCATTCACAGATGCAGAGGCAACTGTGGAAACTCAGCAGTTTAGAAACAGTAAAATGGAAAGGCATCTATGTCAACTGGGCTTGAACTGGTTCATGCTGGATTCGATTCCAAAATGGCTTATAAACCAGAACATTATAGAAGCAGCTGAAAAAAATGGGCTCATGGGTAGATACTGTGTGGGTAGGTGGGAGGATCAAATATATTCTAAAAAGTAGGCATTGTTTAGAGATCTTTTGGATATTCATCCTCTAGTCTTCTATAGAATTTCTATTTTTAAATTGTTACAGAATTACGAGATATAAATTTTAACTTTTCTATGGTACACCGAAATGAGCAACACAATAAAATGTTTAGAATGAATTTTATGGCAGTCGCCATGAAATTTAAGGCAAAGAAAACCAGTGCCAAAGGAATGCTTCGAATAAAATGATTATACACAGTGAAAACTGTGCAATGTAAACACAATGTGCAGAACTAAGTGCGTGAAAGAAAAATGATCTTTAAAATATCACTTAAATGTTTAAAACTAGGCTTCTAAATTATGGCACATTTTTTAGGTTTTGTTTTTTATTTTAAAGGTACAAAACTTTTTTAAAAAATTTTTAGCTCAGTTGGGTACCTAGTGTGAAACATTCCATACCGGATGGTCTATTACAGTAGTATTCTTTGTCAGTGTAACTCATGAGATTTGAGTGGCTGAAGGATATTGAGGAGAATAATAAAGAATCAATATGGGCAAAATGAAGCATTGTTTTTTTGATAGCGATGAGAAAGCCTCATTACGAATCTGTTACGCAGGAATTTGCTTTCAGAATTCACATGGAGGGACTAACGTGAACACCAGTGATCGGGCACCCTCAAAGCTTTGAAATTATAAAATTATTTCCCACCAAAACAGTACCATTTTTCTGTAACATCAGGAATGTTTTTAACTGAAGTAGTCATTTCGTATGTATTTTTAAGCTTTATGCCTAGAATTTTTGTTTTTAAGATTTAAAGTTTTGACGATATATTTGAAATACTGTGATAGAGACCTTTTAAAGCTTCACCTTCAGCAGGTCTAACCTGGGAAGGTAGCGAGAGCAACATTTTAGATGCACAGGAGCTTATAAATCGCCCTTCTTAACTACCTTTGTGGTATCAGAAACCAAGAGCTTAAATCCAGGTCACTCCCCGTCCAGGGCCTTTGCATTTGCCACGTATTCTATCTGGAGAGCCAGAAAGATTCACGTGGTTTAATCCTTTTGTTCATTCACGTCTGTGCAAACGGCATTTCATCAGAGAAGCCATCCCTGGTCATTCCATTCAAATTAGCACAACCATCTCTCTCCAATTCCTTTTCCCTGTTTAATTTCTCCATAGCCTTTACCATCTGACACATTATATATTTATGCGTTTACAGTTTGCTACCTGCACTAGAACAGAGCTTCAGGAAACACGAGCTTTGTTGGGTTCCCCATGTGTTCCAGCACCCCAAATAGGGGCTGGCACAAGTTAGATATTAGTTGCTCACTAAATATTTATCAAGTAAATGAACAAATAGACATATGAGCGAAGTGAATGAAGAAACCTGAGCTGAGAGACTCCAGCTCCTGATTCTTAGACCAGGAACCTGTCTGCCACACTACCCAGGAGATTGTCATAGAAGACAACCAGAGTGTTTTGTTTATCTCAGGTCTTTTCTGCTCTGTTGTTATCCCAGATGTACAGCCTGGGTGTTGGAGTCAGACACCCAAATATGAATCTAGGCTCCACTCCTTACTATCTCTGGACAAATTACCTAACTTCTCTGTGCCTCGGTTTCCTCTATAAAATGGGGGCAGTGATCTCAGAAGTTTGCAAAGATTAAAAAGATAAATAGCCAAGTGCTTAGCACAACGCCTAGCTCTTACTCAGCACTCAAACTAAAAAACTCAGACAGTAACAACCATTCATCCCCACCACTCCACCACCTGCCTTTGCCCACATTTTCCCCACCTGCCTGCTTCCTTGGCTTCCTTTAAAACCTGGCTCTAAAGTGCTTTTGCAGGATCGCTTTTCTTTATACTCTGATGTTTATTGCACAGTTGCACTCCATCAGCACATGGAGCTGTGTCTCCAGGTATTTCCGTCAGGTGTACCTAATGCACCAGAAGCACACCATCTAATTCTACTTTTTGTGTGCCCTCTGGCACCCACAGCAGCCTTGGGGAATCTGTGTATGAATGAGAAAGGAGTGAGTGACTATTGTCTAAATGGGATTGGTGACCAACATATAAATGTCTCTTCCTTTCCTTTTGGTGTGTTGCAGATAATCCAAAGCAGAGCAGCCGAGTACCTCTCTATATTAAAGTTCTAGACGTCAATGACAACGCCCCAGAATTTGCTGAATTTTATGAAACCTTTGTCTGTGAAAAAGCAAAAGCGGATGAGGTGAGTTTCATAAAAAGGTAAATTAATTTAGCTGGATTAATTTAGATCCTCTAATAATTCAGATGATAAATAGAGTGAAGGTCCAGTTTTGAATTATCTATGAAGAGAATGCTAACAAAATTAATACTATAAGTAAGAATCGGAATGAATGTTTAACTTGCGTAAGAGAACAAACAGCTTCTAAGAACTGGAAGTTCATCAGTCTCAAAGTCTGATGCTGATTCCGAATCAGTCTTAAGTTTTCGTTAAAATAGATTAGTCACAGCTTTATTGGAAAAATCTTTACTGGTAAGCAGATAGTTTTAATTACCATATATACTGGAAAGTGATAGCTAGAACATATTTTACAAATGCCTATAATGCATAGCTCCACTTACTTTCATTGCCCATCTGGACAAGTAATACAAATTCATGAATGTTTTACACATGTCCCCATCTAAAATAGGACTTTTCTGCCAGGGATATAGAAATTATGTTACAGTTTGTCAAAATAGAAGTGTACTTTTAAAATACATGTTAACGTGGGCAGCTGAAGTTATGTGTTTTATATACAAACTTTCTTTTTAGCTTTTTTGCAAGTTGATGGTTTTTGTATATGCCCGGATTGCATTTCTAAGCAGTCTGGGTAACGGGTGCCTCCATTCCCTTAAGTTGCAATGTTGTCACAGATTATTGTGGTATTTTATAGCTTTGCATGACTCTCTAGGGCTGGTGTTTCTCCACCTGGGTGATTTTGTTCCCCAGGGGACATTTGGCAATGTCTGGGACATTTGTGATTGTCGCAAGGGAGAGGGTGCTACTGGTACCTAGTGGGAGGAGGCCGGGCTTGCTGCACGGCAGAGTTGCCCCTGTTCTGCTTCCAACCCATCAGCTCTTTGCATAGAGTGGACTCATTGTAAACTTTTTAGAGGCTATCATTTTTTAAATTAAAATTAGAAACCATTTAGTCGAGCAATTGACCACAGAACTGTAAGAAACACATTACGTTAGCGAAATGTTCTGACAGCTCTGTGGCTTGGGTTCCAGTTGATTCAGACCCTCCGAGCTGTTGACAAGGATGACCCTCACAACGGTCACCAGTTCTCCTTCTCTCTGGCCCCAGAAGCAGCCAGCGGCTCAAACTTTACCATTCAGGACAACAAAGGTAAATGAGCCCCAGTGGCCTTCTCTGTCGCTATATTTATACCTGTCTCTCTATCCACCTACTCCCCTCACAGATGACCCAATGCGTGACCGGGTATCCACATGCACTCACCACTTTGCTTTCCGGTTCCAGACAACACAGCGGGACTCTTAACTCGGAAAAATGGCTATAATAGACACGAGATGAGCACCTACTTCCTGCCTGTGGTCATTTCAGACAACGACTACCCAGTCCAAAGCAGCACTGGGACAGTGACTGTCCGGGTCTGTGCATGTGACCACCAGGGGAACATGCAGTCCTGCCACGCGGAGGCCCTCGTCCACACCACGGGACTGAGCACGGGGGCCCTGGTGGCCATCCTTCTGTGCATCATGATCCTACTAGGTAAACTGCTTCTCCCTGCCTCCTCTCTCCCCATGCCGAGGGGCACACCCTGTTACTGTGACACTCTAGATTTATCCGACTCCCCCAGTAAGGCATACAGCCCGATCTAGGTGAGTAGAGCCATATGCTGAGAATCTGTGTTGTGCGACCATGAACTAGTTTTTGCTTGAATATGGCTTTGGGGAATGAGCGGATGTGAAACGCGCCCACGTTTTTACCTGCCCAGGGAACCGCTGCACCAAAGAGCCTCTTGCTTATCAGAGTGGGAGTGAATCTCAGGGGGATGGGGGGGCCACGTAAATACGCCCATTTCATTTCATCTGTTGGTTAATATTTAACCTGCCAAACATTGTTAAATTTTAAAGCGTGAAAGTCATCCGACATGGAGTATCTGGTGAAGGCCCTTTCTATGAAGGTCAAGTTTAAAAATCAGTGGGAAACTGGAGAGGAATGCAGTGACTTTTTCTCTCTCATACAGGAAAATAAAAGGCAATTACATTTTCTCTAACCTAGCAAACTTAAATCTATTTAAATAACCACCTTCTTAGCATTGCTCTATAATTGCCATGCGTAATGTCTGTTATTTCTCAGGCTCTCAATAATAAAGAACTTCTGTGGCCAAGGAAATAAATCTGGGACCTTAAAGATATAAATGTAATAAAAACAAAAATCAAGGTCTAACAATGATTCAAATTAAATTTTTTACCCCCGACCAACAAATTAAGCACACAGGCTGAGCTCAGAGTGATCAACAGCTCCATGACTGTTGTAAACTAAGAAATCAAATGTTGGCTAATGCAGCCCTTCCAAAAATAAAAGCAAGATTCGTATACCTTGCTTACACATTGAGGAAAGAAAAGTAAGAGGTTAGAGTTAACCCGGATTACACAATGGGGGAAAAACTCTTTTAAACAAATGACAATATAGTGACTTTGAGAAGCGTACAGGGAGACCTACGTTTCCCCAGGAAGAGAACGGGAATGCCTGGGGATCCCTGCTAAAAAGCTTCCCATCCAGATGAACTTTGCTAATTATTACAGAAGCCTTGAAACTCGGCCACAGAACTGTGATTCTCTTTGTCATCAAATCTTTGGGGACAGTATTTTAAGATAGGAGGATAAATAAAAAGTGACAGTATGCAAAGACAAATCAGTGCTTCTAAGGGTGAGTCTAAAAATTGTTTAGAAAGAGAAGGATAGGAATAGTTTTAATTTTTTTATTTCTTAAAAAAAAGGGGGTTATTTTTAGGAGGGCTGGATGAGCAGGGCTGTACGCAGGCAGAATCCCGCGGACTCCTGTGGTCTATGGGCGGAGGGCCGTGCTCGTCTCCTGGAGGCGAGTCTCCCTTTCCCTCCTCTACCCGTTTCCTCTCCCCCTTTCTTTCCTCCTCACCAGCCCCTTCACCTTCCCTTTTCACCCCGTCCACTGAATTTGCTATCCCCTCGTTACTCCTAATTTGCCTCAGTGCCTCCCACATCTTGTCTAAATCTCTTCAGAATTCTGTACCCAGTAAAAAAGGAGGGAAATGAGATTTACTTACAACCTTCTGTTTTGCAAATCTGTGTCACTGGCCACAGGGCAAAGCAGTATAAAAAGGTGTATTGTGAGCATCCCTCTGCCCAACGCCCTGCAGCTTCCACCCACCTGGACCCCAGAGCGAAGTGAAGGCGAACGGAGCACCCACAGCCCCACGTGAGGTGGCCCGTCCGTATACCCCCCTCCCCGGCCTCCCTCTGGTCCAGCCACAGGGTCTCCCGGCTGTTCCTCCAACGCTCCCGGCACACTCCCTCTCCAGGGCCTCTGGCTCTGCCCTCTTCACCAGAGAACTCCTTGGATGACTCCTCTTGTCTTCGCTCAAATGTCACTTTCTGGGTGATGCCATCTACCCCACAGAACCATACACAGCCCCTCACACATGCACAGAAGCACTCCCATCCTCCTGACTCGGCTCTGCTTACCGCCTTCTAATAATTTCCTTATTTTTTATGCGCATTGCTTCTTTTCCGTCTCCATTTCCCACCACCGCCTACCCACCTTAACAGGGCAGAGGTCTTGATCAGTTTTTGTATTGATAGTGCCTAGAACTGTACCTGACACAGAGTGGGCGCTACATAAATATTTATTGAATAAATGAATGAATACCTTGAATGGACACGACAAATGAGGCATCAGAATACTCTCTGGCGGCAAGAGAGAATGTGTACAATTACACAGCCACACTTTTGAAAAAGGCAAAACTGTGCATCCTTGAGAAATGGCCTCTACTCCAGACATGTGTCAGAGCACGCCAGAGCACGGGCTCTTCAGTCGGGCTGACCTGGATTTCAATTGCTCATAATGTGACATCTCTAAACCTCAATTTCCTCTATGTAAAATAGAGGTGTAATGATGGTACCTATTTTCTAGGGCCATTATGATAATTAAATGAGATCAGTATGCAAAGCACTTAGCCCAGTGCTTGACACATAGGACTCTCTCAATAGGTAACCGATTATTAATACTATTAACATCTGAAATGTTACCATATAGACACAGGGGTGCACAGGCATCCATTATTATATCGGTAGATACACATATTCACCAAAAACCGTTCTTCTGTAATTCTTATTGTGATAATTCAATTTCCCTGGCTCATAAAAAAAAAAAAAAAAAGGGACCATGTTATGGGTGAGAAAATAAAGAGACGTTACCGGTACCTCCTGTAATAAACTCCCCTGGACAGACCCAGTTTAACTGCATTCTCTGCCCCGGTCGGAGTGAAGGCTTACAGCAGCACCCACAACCCGCACGAGGCGTTTCCCTCTAAGCGGTCGCCCTGTGCGCTAAGCTGTTGCCATGTTTTCCTTTTCCCAGCCGTACGTCCACTTGCAGACGTGTGTCTGCAGCCAGCCAGCTGTGAAGGAACATCGGGGGCTCTTTACACACAGCCCTTGCTTCATCTCTAATTTGAGTTAGGAGGAAAAACCAAAAGAATGAACATCCAGGCAGCAGACGTGCAGAACGGGAACCTCTGAGAGATTCTTTTCGTCCCCACTTAAACCTGTGTCTTTTGTTCGGCTCGAGCAGCAGCAGCCTGGCATGCGTGTTCCCGCCCGACCCCGCGAAGGGCCGGCGGTGAAACCCAGAGTGGTTCCGAATTGTGTCTGGGTCTCTCGGGTGGTAGCTGTCATATAGCCACACATGTGGGAAAGGGGCGCAGATATTCACATCTCTACTTCGGGCTTTAGACTACTTTTACACTTTTCTTGAGAAAACAAAAAAAGAAGGCCTAGCGCCAAAGTTATTTTAGATGTGGAGCCACGCAAACCCTCCGACACGTTGGCAAGGTGGCAGCCTGGTGCTTTTGAAGCAGTTTCGGAGCCTGTCGGGCGTTTGGCATAATTTGCAGCCTCGCTGCAGCACTCTCACTCCGGCTGGGCTTTTCTTAGGACTCTTTCCTCTCTCTCCTTCCCTTGAAACTAGTTCGCTATTTCAAAGCAAAAAGGAACGACTGACCAAGTCTGACAATGTTTTCTCTTCTACTTAGACTGTAACCTTCTTTCACATATTTACTCCATTTCTTCTGGGTCCTGGTTTGATCATGCCTGAAGGCAAATGCATCCTTAAAGAAATAAAAAGTTGAGTCTGCACTTTCCTAGAGGACTTTTAAAACCAGCCGATGGAGCCCAGTGTTCCCTCCCGGCGTTAACTGGGTGGCAAATTAACGTCCCCTCCCCTTGCTGTTTTGTTTCTGCTTCCAGTGACAGTGGTGCTGTTTGCAGCTCTGAGGCGGCAGCGGAAAAAAGAACCTTTGATCATCTCCAAAGAGGACATCAGAGACAATGTTGTCAGTTACAACGACGAAGGCGGCGGAGAGGAGGACACCCAGGCCTTTGATATCGGCACCCTGCGGAACCCCGAAGCCATAGAGGACAGCAAGTTACGCAGGGACATTGTGCCCGAAGCCCTTTTTCTACCCCGACGGACTCCAGCAGCCCGAGATAACACCGACGTCCGAGATTTCATTAACCAAAGGCTGAAGGAGAATGACTCGGACCCCACGGCCCCGCCCTACGACTCCTTGGCCACCTACGCCTACGAGGGCACCGGCTCGGTGGCCGATTCCCTGAGCTCGCTGGAGTCGGTGACCACGGATGGAGACCAAGACTATGATTACCTTAGTGACTGGGGGCCTAGGTTCAAAAAGCTCGCAGACATGTACGGAGGGGTGGACAGTGACAGGGACTCCTAATGTGTTGCCTTTTTCATTTTCCGATAGGACACTGGCCTAGGCGAGGTGGCTCTTTCTTTCTATTTATCCACTGCTCCCTGGAGGGCTCTCTGTCCCGCCCGTTCCGAAAGTCAGTGGCTGCGGTCGGGTGGATCCAACGTTAGAGACTTTTTTCTAATACACTTTTATGAGCTTCCAAGAGGCAAATGTTTATTTTTTAGTGCATCCAGTTAACCGTGTGGGCCCGGCAGGCACCTGCTGGAGGAGAGGGCGCAGAGCAGTCCCAGTAGCATTCCCCTGGGCTCTGAGGGCCAGTTCGGACCACTCTCGGCCCCACTGGCCTGGCCTTTTGTGCTCCACTGACTCAGGCCAGCTGACTGCTCCAACTCTGCCTTTCACATGCTAATGGGAGGAGGGGGTGTCCTTTAACCGTATAGCATAGTTTTAGTAAGAGAAATGAGGGAGGAACGACCGCCAAGTTGTCCCTGGTGTGTCAGTCACAAGGAGACAGTGAACTCTATCTGGCTGTATATTTCTGTCACAGAGAATTGAAAACGATATTTGGCCATCCAGTTTGTTCAAGAACTTTTTCTGGCACCAATGACTATTCTAAGTGTGATGCCCGCCAATGTTTTGAGATTCTCACTCCTCTAAAGGAGTAGAAGCAAATTAAATAGCAACATCCAAAAACTAATAATAAGACCTCATTCCTTTCCCCTAACTCATAGTTCGTTACATATTAGACATGTAAAAGTTTGCCCTTGTACCATATGAGGGAAAGAGGGAAATAGCCAATAATGTTAACAAAGGAAATATTTAACGTATTTTGAAATCTGGGCCGCCAAATGTACCACAGATCACTTGAAATTATTTCAGCCGTCAGTAGATTAATGACAAAGAAGTCTAACTGTTTAAAAGTTCTTGAAGGAACTTTTCTGAGATAAATTTTAACTCCTTGTCTGTAGTTGTTGTCAGTATTATTCTAATATATACTTGAAAGTAGCAGTGTGAAAGTACAATAATTCATGTTCTTCAGATACTTCTTACTCAATTAAGTTGCATTAGTAAAGGTAGATTAAATAAAACTTAAATCCCGCTCTCGGAGTTTAATGGGGTGGTAAGAGCCAGCCACACTTGAACCTGATACCCTGTCCTTCACATCCGGAAACACCTATATATTTATATAACATGACAGATATAGACAAAAGTTGAAATCATGGTGAAAACCTACATATGACATGCTTGGAAGACGCTTGAAAAGGGTAAATTGGATTCCCTACAACAAGAGTGTTTAAGATTGTAATTAAAATGATAGTTGACTTTCAAAAGCATTACTATTTTTTCATTGTTTTTAACTTTGTTTCCATGGTAACTCTGCTATCTTTGTCTTTGAACTAATGATAAAGGAATGGTCTCAAACTATGACAGAAAAGTAATGTACAATCCATCCAATCTATTATTTCTCTAATTATGCAATTAGCATCATAGCTATTATCCAGAAGACCTAACTGAACTGAACTGTTCCTTTTGGCAGGTTCAAATAATTTATTTCATACGGCTGTTCTAATGACTTTTATCATTAGAATCTTCATGTGCGGTCATCAGAAATTTCCAAAGTACTGTAATGAAAACATCCTTATTTTGAAAACCTAAAAGATACAGGCTCTGTATATATATGTACTTAAGAATATGCTGACTTCAATTATTAGTCTTAGAGATTTATTTTCAATTACTGTTAATTTTATAAAGATAATCTTAGTGTCATATCCATTCGGGGGTAATGTCATATCAGTACATGTTTTCTATTTGGAAACGCACTGTCGTCTAGTTAAATTTTAAATAGACGTATTACCCAGGAAGTAAAGATGGCACCTTTAAAATAAGAGCAATGTAGTGTTTTGGATTACCCACTTAGAGTGAAAAAACATTACGACCATATTATTCCTTGTGTTTCCTGAATGTTTTCCTATTTTGTAAAGTACTTCCTTGTATACTAACAAGTATTTCAAGCTTGGGTTATTTCCTGCTTTTATGGTTTTCTTTTGCTAGTTACACACACACACACACACACACACACACACACACACACAGAGGAATGCAAACAAAATACTACAGGATGGCTTCACTGTAATGAATCAATACATATCACAGTCACAGGTAAGTACTGGGAAAAGATAGCTTAGTAAAGATAATAAGAACTAGTTATTTATAGCAATAGAACAGCACCTTAATCACACAACTTACTGTAAAATTAAAAGAGCTCCTATCCTTATGTTTCATGTCCTATAACAAAGTGAATCAAGAAAGTCCTGTAAAAAGAAAGCTATCATCAGAAGTCTTCCTTTTGAACTTGTGGCATTAACTGGAAAGCCTGAGGGTTGACACTAGCAACTTCCAGTATTTAAGGGTAAGACCTATTCTCATAAGTGAAAGGAAGTGGTTCTGTAGTGGGATATTTGAGATGTAATTGGCAGGATAGTTTATCCCATCCTCAAGGGGATATAATGTACCAAGAACAGGTTAATAATGACTAAATGTTGAAGTAACTGTTTAATCTCTTACCACAAAAACTGATGATGAAGCGAATCTCTAAGAAATTGGATAATTTGAGACTGGAGCTGAATATTTAGCAGCAGGGTCCTGTAGGTATCAAGGTAGAGTAATATCCTCCTATAATTAAGACCCCTTGGCATTATGGAAACAGTAAGAATCACAATTCCACTATTCTGCCCGGGTCTAACTTTCTTCCCATCAAGATAATCAGGTCAAGGACCAAGGTCAACACAAATGATTACTAGAGAAAGAAAATTAGTTTTCAGCTCATTTTTCACATTGTCTCTGTCCTGATATTACATGTTAGTGATGAGAAGTATGGAAAGTGAGAAGAGGTAAAATTTTAGTATTTGCTTTAATCATTGACAAATGAAAATTTAGTAAATATAAGCAGATTGCTTTTATGGGTTGTTTCAGGAACTTTGAGGCCTTTCTGAGGCTTTCCCTGCTCTATTCAAAGCGGAGAATTTCTTTAAACCACAAGATGTTCACTGAAATTTTAAAACCATTCAGCCATTGTGCATAAATTTAAAGCCCCTTCACGTCATGGCTACTTTCTGCTGAAAAGCCTAGGAAATATTTGCCCCCAAGTAAAAACCTAAATCTAATGGGGGAGAAAAGGAAAATATGGCTTCATAGAACCGTAAGAAAGGGGATCTGGGCACATTAATATTTTTTTACAGAGCTTTTCTTAGCTTTAAGGTTTAGGTGCATAAAGGGAAATTGAGATACAAATTGACTCCATTTTCTATTCAATTTTAACTCACTATAAAAATCTGTGGATGTGTTTTCATTTTCAGTTCCAAAAAAGTGGTGCAAAAAGCTCTTAAAAGTTGAATCTTTGTCTTAGAAGCATCCAAATTTTATGGATCCAAATTAACTTTAGGATTTTTCCATTATTTTCATTATCAAGTACATAAATTTTAGATCTCCTGTTTTGCTGAACAGTACCTTACATCAAATTTTTTGCCTTGAAATGCGTATTTTATTGGAGATGATAACGTATAAACTATGATTGAGCATTCCTCAATTCTGTATACTTGATAACCAAAAAAAAGACTATGCAGTTGAAAGGAAAGAACAAAGTTGAATCCTGAGAACAAACTACATTTAAATCGGGTACAGCTAAATGTACTCTCCCCAGGAAATTCACCACCGAGTAAATTATTGTATCCTAGTCACTCATTTTGAAGTGGTGTAATTACTTTGGAAGAACACTCTAAATAGTCATGATCCCCACTATTTTGAAAGGTATCCTCTGAAAAGGATCATTTTAGTGTAATTTTGTCTTCTGTGTTTTTATCTAGATGAAATCTTTTTTGAATTGTGACAGGGGATGAAAAATCTCAGCAGTCTGCTGTGTTTACATTAACACTACAAGTCGGGCTGCTTTATCAGATTGTAAGAGCGGAGAGCTCAAGATGCTGTGTGTGGATCTTCAGGAAGATGAACTATCTCGTAAGGTCTGACAAGCAGCCCTCTTTTCCAGACAATAGAGGATTCCCGTATGGTCCCCTTAAAAGTTCAGCGCTATTACAGTTGCAGCATTTTGAATCTCCCTCTGGCATCTTTATGGAATAATTTTCTAAAGGGATAATTCTCTACTAAAATATATCAGACCCCAACCATATTTAATTTGCAGAGCAATACCCTCTTAGAAAAGAAATACACTGACTCGCACGCTTGTTAAAAGTTAATAAAGAAATAGCTCATTTTTAAAGCCACAAGTTTATGGTCTCTGCATCGTCAATTTAATTTAAGCATTGCTGAGACAATCTTTAATCTACTCCCCATTTTGTAATACCTTATTTATGATGCATTTTCATTTTTTAATTTGGGGGAAACATTAGCGCGACAGAGCTGGCAGATAAAAGTGCCGAAAGGAGGTCAGATGGAAAGAGAGCCTTTTACCCATGTATCTCAGACGGGACCGAGGCACTTAGCTGAAGAGCCACTGGGTTATTAGATTAATTTCAAAAGAGCTTTTACAAGTTACTTAATTCTATTTTTTTTGAAAACCCATGGACCACAAATTCAAATTTCTCCTCAAATGGGGTTAATTTGACAAATGAGGCATGGGCCCAGCCAGCATTGTGGAAAAAGCATCCCACTGTAATGAGGTCTTGGTCTTTCTTGTGAGACTGCGCTCTTCATGTAAATATGTCTAGAGGCACCTTCTATAAGCTTTTAGTTTTCTATGATCTATTAGTTTAGTGTTTATTAAGGCATCAAATGTATAGAATTACGAGGCATCCAGGGGGAATGCTGTGCAGCCAACGTAAAAGTGATCTTCTCGGAAGAAACACAGGAACGCTTCCAAGCCACTGTACTGTTTTGTTTGTGATTATTTCCATTGCTTTGAAAGTAAACTGCGTAAGAATGGGCCTTATAATAAATGCTACATGCGTCTTCAGTAGTATCAAGCTAAGGCAATTTGGTATTCTCCTACTGTGATTTGTGATTTTTCAACCCAGAAAAATCAAAGCTTTGGGGTATTGATTGTTTTTAATTAAAAATACTCCCAAGTACAAATTGAAGCTGATGCCACCCTTGAAGATTTACTGGCTGGAGTGCTCAGTTCATATCGGTTTTCTCGGTATTGCCTGTGTCTTCAGCAATGAGAACACCTGACGGAAACCATTGCTGCTCAGCTCTCATCAACATTTCTAGTTAGGGAGATTTTCAGACTTCACAGGTTACATGAGAAAGTTTTCTGTGTTCGAAGAAAGTGGGTTGAGACAATTACCTTCTAGTTCAATGTGGCTGGGCCTTTTGCTGTAGTCCACTGGCAAGTACACGCTCCTTGAAATGGCTTCTTTTATTTCCCTTTGTTTTCTTAGACGTATACATTTGAAAAGAATGCAATTTAAAAAGTGATTTCTCACAAAGAGTAAATATGCCTTTTGCAAATCAATTTTTGTAACAAGTTATTTATATGATATTACTTAATAAACTGTTTTTTCTAACTTGTTTTTTTTTTTTAATTCTCTCAAACTATTGTTTGTAATCAGAGTTTTTTAAATGTACATGTGGATACACACTTTATCTTTCCAAATCTGCTGTTTTAACTTCCCAGATAGCTAACTAAAGCCAACTTGTTATATAATAATTAGCTTTAAAACCATAGTTTCTCCCAGTCAGAAATATACATATCATGGGCACTGCCCTGCAGACCTCTCACTGGTTGGAACCAAGAATTCTGCTATCATTTGTGGAATTACTGTATTGAGAAGAAAGCTGTTTATGTTCATGGTAATTGCTTTAGATTTGTTTTTTGTTTTTTAAAAAAAAGGACAGTTCTATATTTTTGCCCATCCCAAATCTCCATCCTTTGCTTCACTTCCATTAAAACAACTGTCTATGGACCTCTGATTTAAAAAGGAAAAGCAAGAACCAGACCAGGGGGAAATAATAAAACCCTTCCAGGATTCTGACACTATGAATAAATAAAATGTTTTTAGTATATTCAGGGCTGTAATATTTTACGTGCTTGCTCTTTTTTAAGCTGCTTATTTCTACAGAGGCTATTTCATAATTTTCTAACTGGGAGAATTCATAGCTTTGCAAAGATTTTCGTTTATCCATTCATGTGTTCAATACAGCATAGGCCCTCTGCTGTGAGCTGCAGAATATTCGAAAGAAGCCAGGTAGCTATATTTTCCCTCCTCTCCAGAAGCTCATGGTCTAGGAAGGAGGGCTGCATAAGTATATTGTAAGTATTGCAAGTACACAACTATAGTACCCGCCAGAAGGTGGCATGCAGATGTCTCCAGAGAGGTGCAGATGACAGAGTTCATAGGAAGGAGACACTGTTTCTGCCCTGTGAAGGGGTCTGTGGGACGTTTAGGAATTAGTAGGATTGAGATAAAGTAAGGTAAGAAACAAAAAAGAATAGCTAGGGAAAGACAGAAAAGAGAGGAGTGTTTAAGCAATGCCATTGATCTCAGCCGAGGTCCCTGAAGGGGTCTCGGCTTGGAAAAGTCATATAGCACCAGAGCACAGAGGACCACCAACGCCAGAGCAGCTGGTTTTTGATGTTGTTTTGTTTTTAATTTTTTTTTTCTGCTGTTTGGTTTAACTTGGTCGGGTACAGAAATCCATGGAAAGGAATGGTGCTATTAGAAGTGCACTTTTTGAAGGATAAGTACATTGTACCGCGTGCACTGTG